AGAATGAGCTGATTATACAGTTTAGTATTTCATGACTGAACAAAATAAGTACACTGAGAATGATTTACACAGTCCTGATGCTAACAGATCCTCTGTTCAGACAGACAAGCTGCAAATAGAGTTGCTTGGAAATTTTCCATATGAATGGTTATTTTTAATGGGAAATTCAGTTTTCTGCAGAAAAAAATGATAATCACTCACACTGGGAAAAATCAAACAGTAATGAGTAGTTTCGATTGCATTGACCTAAATGCAGCTGACCTAGAATGTTTCATTTCAGTTCATTTCTTCAGAAGATGACATTGGCTTCCTAGCAGTGAGCTCACTGCTTAATCATAAGCATAGTTTGAGGGCCTAGTCCCTTCCATAATCTGGGTTTCCCAGAGAATCACAGCAGTTTTGGTATCTCTATCAACATGTGCATTTCCAAGGAGTTTAATAAACCAAAATAAACATTTTATTTTGTGTAAGAATAAATAATCTCACGTTTTTTAAAAAAAAAATCATTTTGGGACAAAAACAGAAGTTGAAACATTATCATCTTTGGGGTGAAAACAAATTCGCTCTTTGTAGCTAAAGAGCCACCATGATGTTGCCTCTTATCTACTCGTTTAGGTTGGTATCATTCAGACTCTGCTAAAAAAAATCATAGCTCTGCAGCCCTTGTACAGTTCTCTACAGATTTTAGCATGCACTGCAACTTTTAATAGTATTAAGACTCTTTTAGCAACACAGAGACTGTTATAGCTGGGATGATTAAGGTGGCTAGCCAGCTATGTAGTCATTGCATCCCTGTGAATCACTGCCTAATGCAAAGGACTAGGGTCTTCTTTTTCAGAAGAGTTGTTAGTCAGGAAAGAAAACTTTATTCTCGCCTGTAGTCCTGCCACACACAGAGCAGTGATGATTCTGAAGTTATCACTTGGCCTGGAGCTAAGCATAAGCAAACTAGGCAATTTAGTGCAGCAAAATGTGGGACATTAAAACAGCCATAACCCCACTGCCTGTGTCAAAGCCCAGAAAGCCAAGCTGGCTGCTGCCTTTGAAAGACCAGAGGGTGCACAGTTCAGCTAGTCCTGGGGTTGAAAAACAGGAGCATCCTTGGGGCAGTGGAAAGTTTGGCTCCCCAGGGGCCAGCCCCGGGAGCTCTTTCCCACTTTTGCCCATTCTTCCTCCTCTCCCTTTTCTGAGGCAAGAGGCCAACACCTGGGCTTGTCTCAGCACCACATCCTACTGATGGCAAAAGGCAGTTTTGCCTCCACTGGTAAGAAACCTTGAACAAACCTGAACAAAAAGGTCTTTGCTGTTGCAAAGGAGCTGTGAAGAAGAATATCTTTAAAATGGAAATGCACACATAAGACTCCTTTGCACAATACCCTCCGTAGTGTTGGAGCACTTATCTCATTTTGTGGACTTGAAGTGGGATGGTATGCAGGCTCTCTTGTTGCAAAGAGCTTACGGCTTTTTGGCTGAGATTGTCCATGGATGACTATTCCGTTACCCTTGCACAGTCTAAGTAACACTTAATTCCTTTCAGTCACAAATTATATGCTTCTGCTTAACAATAGGAGATACCAGCCTCAACCTTTCCTCCCTAAAACCAAATTTAGCAGAGACATGCAAATGAGACCCAAAAAAAGAGTTGGTTCAAGCCTCTGAAATAAATCCTTCTCATATCTGAGAATGAAGAGATATCCAAAGAAGAAAGTGTTATCCTTCTCCAGCTATGATAGTCATGGCAATGAATTTCCTAAATTAAGTTAGTTCATGAAGTCTTTCATATGGTATTGGATTCTTCAATACAATAACTGCTTTAGATGCCAGAGTCCATACTTTATACATAATTCGTGTACTGAAGAGATGTCATTGCCTCTTCTTGTGGTCCAGGGAAAATATGCAGATCTTTTGCTGGTACCTCTGCTGAGAGGTGCCTTTCGGACCAGAGAACGGTATGTGTCAGGTCAGTGGATGGGGCTGTGGATCGGTGGGTTCACACCAGCAGATGGGTGGAATAGCTTTAACCTTCCCTCCTCCCTGGCTGGCCCCAGTCCACAGCTGACTGGTGGGCAGAAAAACATGATCACAGCTGCTTTGCACTCCTACATTTTGGGCCACTTCCAGAGGCACCACAAATAAGCACTTTTGCCACAGTTCATTCAAGGGAATTTGCTTATGTTTCTGTCACTGAGCAATGGGTATGATCAGCTTTGCAGTGATCAGGACTGCTCAGTGGAATATTTGTAACAGTCCTTTAAAAATAGTTCATGTTATTAGGTAAAGAACATTTTAGACACAAAGTCAGATATGTAAAAGGACTACATTTAGTAGTCAGAAAACAAACTGAGAGCAGAAGTTTAAAAAAATGATTGTGCTGATATGATGTGAATGCATTTGGCTGCACCCTAGCTTCAGGTGCCTATCATGAGTGGAGCGCTGGCGCCTGGATGTGAGTCATCCAACAAATATTGCAAATAACATGTTCAGCACTGCCAGATTATAGGTCTAGGCAGAAGCATCCTTGGCATATGTATGCACTGAAATGATGAACAAGTGCCCACTATAAACCTGAGTATTGAGTTGCAGAAACAGCTCTCTGGTGTGCACCTCACTCCTGTACTATTAAATATATTCCAAAGTTCTTTAATTGTTTCTGTAGCATCCTGCAGGGAGCTCAGAATTGTTTGTATACAGAAAAAGAATTTCTAGGTTTGTTCAGACTGTGTTTGAAGCAGCATGTTATTATTTCCAAGAGAATGAAATAATTGGTGACACAAAATTAGTCTCCCTTCCTAGAACAGCATCCCCTTCAAATAGGATGCCAAGAACAATGAAGCCTCAGAGGGTGTTTATAATAGAGAAGGAAATATTATGAGTATGCTAGACTGAAATCCATGCTCTTGATGTCATTTCTATGTTCTGTCACAGGCTTCCTGACAGCTGCTGCACAAATCACTTTGGACAATAATTTTCTTGTTATTCAGGTGCCCAATTCTAACTGAAAATTAATTCAGCACCTAAATACTTTTCCATTTGCAGCTGTGTCACCCCTGTCAATAGGACTAACAGCAATGTTCTGATGACAGCAATGCTGAAAGCCTCCGAGCCACTCCCTTACTATATCGCTACACACTGCTGAGGATAATGCAGAAGAACAAGGATCAGACTGGATTTTAATATGAAATTTGAAAAGAGAGCATGAATTTGACTGGCTAACAATGTGAAAGGCTGTTTTAAACACAGTTATCAAGCTGTACATTAAGAAATGCAGGAATGTCTTTTAGAAAGAGAAGGCATTAGGGCAGCTGATGTGAAGTGGCAGAAAATGCAGGGACAATGAACAAAGAGTAGGCATCATAACAGCAAACTCCTGTCATTTAACATCATCATAATCTGTCACTGCTTTTTGGCTGAGGCAATCTTCCAGCTTTCAGCGTTTCGGTTTGCGTTCAAGGAGTGAACGCCTGGACTGTTCCAAAAATGACTGCTGAACTGCAGAAGTGGTTGGTCAGACACATCTGATCATTGATGCCATAGTGATCTGCAGTGAACAGCCTTAAGGAGTCACAGACACTTTTTCCCATGACATACTTTGTTGACCTAAGAGTTAAGTTTCTCAGCTTTAGCACCAATTCTTATAGACTATGAATTTCATTATACCCGCCACCAAGGTCATTGGAAAAATCAGATGCAAGACTCATTTGCAGTCATCCAACTTGGCCTGTTCAAATGCATATAAGGTCACCTTTACTTAATAAAATTTGTGGGGACATCTCATTTACATCATCAATTAAAAGCATTCAGAATTTTTTATAGCCCTAAGTATGCCAGTTTGTGACAACCCAGGATCTTGCAATTTCTGTCTGTTTTTCTCCCTCATGAAATAAAAGCCAGATGTATGGAAGTTAGCATTGGTGAAAGTGACTTTAAGATAATACTGTGTCATCATTCTATTAAAAGGTCAATAAAAAAATCCCATTAAAAAGATAAGTGAAAAAATTCTAAGTGCAATCAGATATTCAATATTGACCCCTCAGCAAGATTAAAAAAGGACATTCATGCTTTTAAGTTCCTTTAATAATCAGTTTCTTCTCCTCCTCGGAAGAAAGTCAATATGCTAACTTTCAGAATTGAGCTGTAGGTCAAATGTTTTTTCTTTTGACTATTAATGCCTCAGAGAGGAAAATATTGCTTAAGAGAGAAAATACCACTTAAGAGTTGATCAAGATGAAATCTGTTTGAAGTGAACAGTTTTGAATTGTATCGAATACTTGCATACATTTATGTATTTATATAATGTTGGCATGGGAATATGACAATACAGCTATACTTTTCACATCACTAATTTTGCTGAAGTTAGTACTGGTGAAATGGTCTTGTATGGCCAGAAAGTCTTAGAAACTATGCATGCTGATAGTCTATGTCTGTTTTATCCTCTTACTGTACTGTCTCTCCCATGGAGCACTATTGCACAGTGAGGATTGCAAACAGGAGAAAGTTATTGGGGTTTTTCCCTCATTTAGCATGGAGGGCCAAGCTCTCCAGGCCATGCTGTCCAGCATGACAGCCACAGAAGAGTACAGGAAGAAAGGGGGGGGGAAACAATTTCTGATGTTTAGATGGATTTCTGCCAGCACTGGGACCAAATGTGTGAAGCTTGAGGAGCAGTGACTCTGCACCATGATGCACAAAGCCTGGGTGAGGAACTGCAAAGAGAGTTTCTGGTAAGTAGGAAGGTACCAGTGGGAACATGACTGGGAAGGGAGGCTGCACCTGCAGCCAGCTTCAGAAAGGCTGCAGCACAGCTACAGCCTTTGGCTTAGGACAAGCCTCCCTTAGGCAGCAGAGCAAGGCCAGCAAGAGCCAGGCACTCACATCTCCTGCTACAGCCTAGGCAGGGTGGCTTCATATCCCAGTCAGGCTAATCTTTGAGTCCTACTATTTACCAATCCAACAAAAAACATTACTAAGCTCACTAACCTTCTATACTCTTATCTTTCCAGCAATCTTGACACAGAAGAGCTCTGTGGTAAGTTCCTTTTTGGACAAGAACTTAATCTATGCCTGCAGCAGCCCTGTGCAAGTAAACAACCATGTGATATGATTTTTTTTTTCTGTTTAATCTTTGTAGCTCAAATAGAAAATAATTTCCATTGAAAGAACTCCTGGGAAAATACAGATAGCTTATAATCTTTTCAGACTCTGTCATCCATTGCATGCAGAAATTGCTTTGAAAATATTTTTCCTAATCAATACTTCACATTCTCCAAGCTTCAAGATCTGTTCTGATGTAAAGATAGCTAACTTTTATCTTATTTCCCTTTCATGCAAGATATTTTTTCTGATTAGTTTATCACTTTCAGAGATATGAATGCTTTAGCATTTTTGAAATATTGTCACATTAGTATTCTACTGGAGGAAAGTTCATTACTTTTCTCCAGCTTAAGCCAGTGAGAACAGCAATTTGACAAGTTCTATCATCCTTCATCACAAAAAAACTCCTGCAAGACCTAGAATTTGGCCCAGTTACCTATTTCTGTACCCCATTCTGGGCTGTGAGGTGTTTCCCCAAAACCCTGTTTGCTCTCCAGCTGATCTTACAGCACCTGATTTAGGAGTGCTGCTTGCAACAGAAAACACCTCACAGAAAAATTCTGCAAGTCCTCCCACAAGATGTCAAAAGAACCCACCCCAGTTATATTTGTCAAAAACTGCCTATTTCTGAGAGAAAGATGGTAGCTAATAAGTTCTCTAGTAGTCAACAATGTAGAAAACTTATAAAAACCAAAAATACTGTGAAGTTGAATACCAACTCATTTACTCACCCACAGGATAACTCTACCCATGGCCAAGAACCCACTGAGAGGCACCTCAGCCTGTGGCTTATATGACAAGAGACTCAGCTGAAGTGAATTGGGCTGTGACGACTTCTGCTGATTGAGAATCTGGCCAAAATTATATAAAACTGGCCAAGGAAGACAAGCAGTTTTGTTCCACAAGGGATTTACTGCTGTTGTTGTTGTTGTATGGGAGGCTTACAGATTTGCTCAGCACCAGACCCCACTAGCCATTTCAGGCTGGCTGGAGGGCTGAGGGGGTTTCAGCTTGACATGGTTTCTGTTTGCTGCCTGTTTTGATTAAATATGGGCTGCTTCAGCTGCCTTTTAAATCTTTCATAGGTTGCCACTAGGGTGTTTCTCATCTGTGAATCTGGTACCGAGTTTACTCAGTGCATGTTTAAGCTAGTGATTATACAGCTCTTTCTGAGTTATCTCTGTTCTCCTTAAAAATGAAGCTTCACTTCCAGGATACTAATTCACGATACATCTTCATTCTAAATCATTTCATTCAACCTCTCAGCAATACCAGGTTATGTCGCAGTGTTGCTGAAACCTTGTGCTTTCATGACTCCCCTGAGATGCTCACACTGACCTCCTAAAAGCCTCAAAGTATTGCTATTTATTATTTCAAAAAGCTCCTATCTAATCTTGTTCTTCCTGTCTGCCATTTAGATGTTGTTTTTCATGCTCTTCCAGGTGATCTGATGTCTAAATGCCTTGTCTAACACAGTCTCTAGCTTTAACATAATTTTCTTTCTTTCTTTTTTGTGCTTTGTCCTTCCTGTGCCTCTCTCTGTTGTATTTTGCCACCTTGACCAAATGGGAACTCGGGTCACGATTTCCCAGGGTTGCCGCCTCCTCTCGCTGTAATCACTCTGATTGAATTATGCCCCCTGATTTCACACCAGCTCTTTCTGTTAAAATGTCCTTTGCTTTGAGCAGCTACGCAAGGACGTCCTGCAACTTGCATTATTTCCCTGATTTTTGTTAGAAGTATTTTGCATCCATCATATTTGTTGGAAATATAATCACAGTACCTGGGACTAGAAGCTGATCTGACCATCTCATGGTCTCTTCGCTTCTCAGAGAGAAACAACTGGTCTCAGCTGACCCTGACTCACAACAGCCCCCACTTGATCTTATCTCTTCTAAGGGCTTTATCAGTGTTATTCATTTTTGTATCAATATAATCAGATTTAGTACATACACATGAAAACTTCATTTCCTGCTAGTAACCGTAAAGTACACTATTAGACTGAAAATCCAGTTTAGAACGAAAATGTAGATATTTTGAAAGCAGAACTCTTTCAGCTTTTAAACTGATATTTTAAATTTTTGTCAATTTGGCGTCTCATTTATTGAAATAAAATGTTTTGGAACACTGATTTTGGCATTTTAAGTACTCCAAGAATGATTTTGAGGAAAACAATACAAAATTTAAAAACGAAATCATCCCTTTCATTGTAACTCTTGTTCAGTTTATATATTTAGATAGGTAATAATACCATAACTGAATTCAGACTTGATAAAATTTATATTTAATGAAATATTGATTTTTCAGGCCATGAATAGGTGATGTAGGTTTTCTTCTTTTAGAATATTTTTCCCAGCACTTAGGAGGGTATGAAAATGTGTTATCTGTCTTGGAAGACTTAAACATAACCATACTGAAGGCAATGGACAAAACAAAAAAAGTAAGTAAAACCTGAAATTTTCTTTACATTGTATATTTTGTTTATTTAAATATGTATCCAGTATTTTTCTTATCTAGATGAAGTTACTAATTCATATTTAAGTTCTTCCACATTTACACATTTGTAGCAAAAGTCCAGTAGGAAAGGTTTGTCAAAATGGCTGAGTATCAAAGCTCTGTCTGCAAAGTATTACAGTTTGGATGTAACCAAAATTGTCTTTGCAAATGATCTGAAGAACATTCTTCATATTGTCGTTCCAATAGAGGATTCCATGTCCCATGTCAAACATGGGTAAGTATTATCAGCATATCAACATTTGAAAATAGTCTGAATTTGAAAAAATAATCCGAATTTTTGAAGTAGAAAACATGTTAGTAAAAGATGCTAATGACTTAAACTATATTAATGACTATCATTAAATTAGGCAGGCGAGAGTCATCTGGAGACTTACTGGGGAGTTGTATTTATGTTATTATCAAATGTAGATTCCAGGATAGTTTAAAAAGATTAAAAAAGGCTGTAATATCTCCCCCTGTCTTCCCTGAAGCTGAACTCTGGTACTTTTATGATTATAAAACCATCCTGTAGGCAGCGGCTGTGCATCCCGTCTACTTAATACATAACTGAAATATAACTGGCCAATGTAAATCACTTGAAAGGATTTCTGATAGTATGTTCATACTTGCTCATTCATACCACATCCCAGCTCCATGTCTGATCAAAAGTGCATCAAGACATTAGGTAATATGCTCCTTTTCCCTGGCTGAACAGTTCTTGTGCAACAATTCTGTGCAAGGTGGAACAGCTTCAAAAGGTGAGGGAAAGCACAAACCAGGGAAAGAAGTGAACCTAGATCCTCCAAACCCAACCCCAGACCCACACCACACGGCTATTCACTGGAAGGCGAGCCGTCAACAACAGAAGTTTCGGCCAAAAGTATTCAGTGAGATCCCGTGGGGGGAAAAAAGCCTAATTTTTTCAGTCAATCAATGGAGAGATCAGTGGGGAGAAAGCTGTGCTTCTCTAGCAAAGCTGTTATATTTGGCATTCAGGTGTTTGCAAGAGTGCAATACTCATACATTTTACATGAACTGCCAAAATAAAAACCCGAAAGTGTAGCTTATTTATTTAGAGCTTGAGCCAGTAAGCTGAATGTCTCTCTGTTCATGCTGTGCATCTTCCACTCCTAATGAAGTGAATGGGCGCTGACTCATTGGCCTGGACACTGAAAAGCAACAGATTAGTTTATTCTCGCCAAGCATAATTTAAAAAAAAATTAGCCATGTATATAAGCTACTGCTGAAGTGCAGGACATGTCATCTGATAACTACTGGAAGTAAATAGAACACAGCATTTAAGAAGTACTTTAGAAGTTAATTACAGAGGAGGAGTCCCAGTAGACTAATCAGAGTTGAAAGAAGTAAGCATTGGCCTGACTAGAAAATGTATAAGCAAATCTGGAATATTAATAAGTGTTTTGTTTGTCTGCTTGAAGAACCCATCTGGAAAAAAAACACACCATGATTTCTTTGAATTTTATTTTCCTGACTGAAGATTCAAGCTTAATGGGTTTTCTCTCTTTCAGGAATATCCCAACTGACTATTCATTAGAGGTGGCAGCACTAGAGCAAGGCTACTGGAAAAAGTACTTTTCATTCCAATTAGTAGACACAGTGTGTGAACACAGTCAAACAAAAAATGTGTTCTCAAATATTCTAAAATAGAGCTTTCTGCCAAGGATATGCCCAGCAACTACAGCTTTGTATGGAAATTAAATTCTCAATTCAAACTTGGGATTATTCACAACAAGAACTCAGTTCTCAGGAAACAAATAGGTTATGTGACTTGACTACCTGTTAAATCATTGGAGTGCAAATAATAGAATTTCCATCTTAAATAGTCCAAGCTTTTATTGAAGTCTAAAATCTGGAATATGTCCACCTAAAATCAGAGCTGGAGGTGGAGCAAAAGCTAGTTAGCATATTGAGATAGCATGGGTTAATGATGTTCATCACCAGCTCAAACAAGCAGGTACTCAGAAATGGGTGGTCTGGTTATGAATGGCCATTGGCATGTATGCAGAGCAAGGCTTGGGTTTCCCCTCCTAGTGCAAAATAAAACCTTGTCATTGCTCTACCATTGCAGCCACCTTGTCCCTTCAATAGTCACTGAGTAATGGGAGCGGTCATTATGATCTTCTAAGCCATCATCTAGTTGGAAAATTCATATATAGAAAAAAAGCCCAGAAATTAAGACCTACACTTTGAGACCTACAAAGACATGGTGTACCTACAATGGCTGCGTCAGTTTCCAATGACCAGAACCAAATTTCCAAGGACCAAATTCTCCTATTAAAAACCAAAAGTAAAAACTTCTCAGATTGAACCTGAACTCCACCCTGCAGAGCATGGGGCTGACTACAGAACCAGTCCTCAGGGCTGCCGTGAGCTTTCCATCGCATCTGACTTTTTGTGAACTGGAGGAAGCTCAGTGCCTCTATCAGTCTCTGCTAAACTTTCCCAGAGCACATGTCACTTCAGGTAGGCAGCTCATTCAGTCTTAAATATTTGGGGGGAAAAAGGAGCAACTTGGTACTTCATTCATTCTATTTATCCAGTTTAGAGTCAGATAAACAATCACCACTCAGTCCTTCCTATAGAAAATCCCTGCTTTCCTGCCAATTCATGTTGCCCGTACTCTGTAGGTACTTTGCACGAAAGGCAGCTGAGGAATTGGAGCCCTAGAAAAAATGTTCAGCTTCAGTTTCTAAGGAAACCCTGGAGAAGGAAGATGTGTCAGTCTTCAACAAAAAGCTGAACAGTGGATCAGAATGTCTGAAAAATCTAAATACCTAATCTATAAAACTTCCTTATTCCAGATATAAACAGAACTTGAAATTAAAAAAAAAAAAAAAACAAAAAAAACAAAAAAAACCCTAAATGCAGTTTAATGTACTTTACTTTTTGGTGTACATTAATCTAAGTTTGATCACACCCAAGTGTGTGGCATTATTTGACTCATATCTGTAAATCTAGTACAAAAGTGTGCACTGAGTAGCTTTTGCAGATGAAAATAGATTTGACTCTTCATGTTGTCTTGTTTCAGTTTTGAAAATCACATGCATTAATGAACAAATACCTTGGGTTTTGTTTACAAATATTCCCAACCTGTTCAACCTTTAGTCAGAAAGATCTCTCACCAAGAACAACTGGAGTTTGGCTTGGCTACAGACTCCTGGATTTAAATCAAGATCAACTAAATTGTCCCAATCACTCCAAATTATTTCCATGTGTAGATATTTTTAACCCAACAGATTAGCAGATAACTGACTCCTGCAAGTTAATTGCAGCATAATTTCCGTGTACTTTGTTGCCCTCTGTGGTTTGAAAGGGTTATCAGCACAGCTTTCCTGAACTGAGCTTTTCTCCAGTCTTCCAGTCCTGTGCTATCTGAAAGTGAAAATACCAGATATAAACAGAACTTGAAATTAAAAAAAAAAAAAAACAAAAAAAACAAAAAAAACCCTAAATGCAGTTTAATGTACTTTACTTTTTGGTGTACATTAATCTAAGTTTGATCACACCCAAGTGTGTGGCATTATTTGACTCATATCTGTAAATCTAGTACAAAAGTGTGCACTGAGTAGCTTTTGCAGATGAAAATAGATTTGACTCTTCATGTTGTCTTGTTTCAGTTTTGAAAATCACATGCATTAATGAACAAATACCTTGGGTTTTGTTTACAAATATTCCCAACCTGTTCAACCTTTAGTCAGAAAGATCTCTCACCAAGAACAACTGGAGTTTGGCTTGGCTACAGACTCCTGGATTTAAATCAAGATCAACTAAATTGTCCCAATCACTCCAAATTATTTCCATGTGTAGATATTTTTAACCCAACAGATTAGCAGATAACTGACTCCTGCAAGTTAATTGCAGCATAATTTCCGTGTACTTTGTTGCCCTCTGTGGTTTGAAAGGGTTATCAGCACAGCTTTCCTGAACTGAGCTTTTCTCCAGTCTTCCAGTCCTGTGCTATCTGAAAGTGAAAATATTGAGTCATCTATGGGAGAAAGAATTCCAGTGTGTGAGCAGGTTCAAGAAACTTTGAAACCAGACTTCTTTTCTCCATTCTGGGGCCAGATCCCTCCAGCCTATCCAAACTAAATAGCACCTGCGAAGACGGGAAGCCCTCAGTGGTGTAGGAGTGGTTCATGCTCCATCGCTTGAAGGGAAGGTGCTAAGCTAAAAATGCAGAGAAATAGATATAGCAAGGAACATCTTTCAGCAGGGAAAAGGCTGACTTGCATTTGCAAGCATCATGCTTTTAATACAAAAGACATCTTACCAAAGGGTGCTGGGGAAGCTACAGCCCTTCTGTTTTGGTACTGGTCTCGTGTTTTATCCTGACACAAGGAAGGGAAACACATATTTGAGGATTTTTAGAGGGACTTATGGCATTTGATATTTGATTATTTCTCTCCTTAGGATGGAGAGTCTGCATGAGTTGCTTACACAGGAGTGGTGAGGACAGATTATTCATTGGTGCCAGTTGTTTTTCTTGTACCTGCCAGGTTGGTATTTTCCTGATCAAAGTACAAGCTGGGATATTTCTGTTTATCTCGTTTCTTCTTCATCTTATATACAGGAAGCATTAAAAATTAAAGACTCAGCAAAACTTTACAAATGCATTGGAAGGCTTGTTTCTTTAAGCCTTTTTTCTCTGACATCTTTTCTAGCAAAACAGAGAAGCATATCTAAATAAAATATTTAATCTTAACTTTTTGGTTACCCAAATAAACATAACTTTTTCAGCAAGCTGCATTTTTATTACATTCTGTAGCTTTCAGTCACATATAAATACAATGAAGAGAAACTTTGCAACCTGCAGCACAGAAAATAATATCTGTCAATGAGTAATGATGTAGATAGATAAAAATAGACCAGGTTTTTTAAAGTGCTTGACATCTTGGTTCTATTGACTTGTGAACACTGAAAATC